AGACTCTAATAAGAAAAATATGGTTATAAAATTTATTTTAATTACTTTTTTATTTAATTTTAGTTGGCTTAATTTAATTTTTTAGATATTAATTTTATATGAAAAGTTAACAAAATTAAGAATAGGATAATATAATAGTTTAATTATATTCCTTTCATGGCACAAAAGTCTACCCCAGTTGAAGAAGGTGGCGTCCGGTAGGGTTAGTATTTTATTTATGTACTGAAATTAATATAATTACAATTTCATGTTATAAGTTTATTATTATAATATTTCATATATGACTGATTTTTTTTAAAAATTTTGTTTTAATATACCTTTGATATCCCCTTGAACTCTTGAATATGGGCTTCTTTTATGGTCTCTTATTGAGCCCATTATTCATGTCTTGGATTTCTTGCTCAAGCCCATTTTTTCATTGGCTATCTTTTCTCTAAAAGTAAATTATTAGTTCATTCATTGTACATGCTACGTGGTTTGAGACTAGAGAGACATCGCGCGTTACTATGTGAGAAAAAACAAAGAAGGTCGAGCGAAGTTTCAACGGAAGTGTTGTATGGTATAATTGAAAGGAGCTCTCCAATTTGTACTTTAATAGCATAAATTAAGAATATAATTATTATATATTTTTTATATTAATTATTATTGAAAGATATAAAAATTGTTATTTGTTTTATCATTAGTATCACTTGAATTATTTTAAATACATAATTATTTAAATAAAGATTAATTTTTATTTTTTAGTAATAATTAAAAAATATATATAATAACTACACTTTTAATCTGCACTTAAAAGTATAAATTAAAAAAATTCTAATTTAAATTATAGGCACATATTAAAAAAATCTTAATTTAAATTGTGTTTAATTGTGTTTTTAGTTGCCATTGTTAAGGAAAGATTCGACAATAATAGTGGAAGATAACCATAGGATGTAGTCCATTGGGTTGTGGTTGAACTGGTGCAGTATAGGGACTCAGAGTTGTGTAGGGGGAGGCTATAGTGTTGGACCAGGAAGTTGATGGGAATCCTTTGAGCAGCAATGCAAACTTTTCTTTAA